AACACCTTCTTTAAGGTTTCCTTGGTAAGTGTAGCCTTAACAAGACTGTATTTCCACTTAGGACTTTAGGCTAATATCTGATGAACAAGAATGTTCAGATTTCCAATGTTTGCTCAATTCCTTAGAGATGTTTATACCTTAATATCTTTTTGAAATAAAACCATAGATAAAGACAGTAAAGAGGAATAACAGCTTATCCTTTTAAAGAGAGTATCCTTCTCTTTCAGGAATAGAAATTTGGGGGGAAGGGGAGGGAAATGATATAGAATGTGGGAAGGGGTTTACATGACCTTGATACTGATTACCTGGTTAAGATTGGTGGTGTGTAATTCTTACCTTTTTTTGTTATAGATTCTTACTTTTTGTGGCTAAATTATTTCAGTAACACTCTTTTTGAAGAAAGGATTAAAAAGTAAGAAGAATGAATATATACCCTTGTGATCTTTAGTTCACAATTCTGTCTTTTGGTTTGTCCTTTCATGCCAAAATCCAGAGCAAACATTGGCCTTTTGAATAGGTTCTAAACCAGAGAGATCTGATGGATGTCATTCAAGATTATTCTTTCTATCCTGGTTTCTAAAGTAGGTGGGAGGTGGGAAGGTTTTTGGTTTTGGTTATCCTAGCGAGGATTTCTCCCAGATAGTGTCACTAAAGGGTGTAAAGTTGTGGTAACATGAACCGCTGTGGCTGCTATCCCCCCAAATATTTGAAGAACGCTCCTATTTCTATCAAGAAAACCCTGCTCTTACTCTGAGAATATAGCTTGCATTTCCATGTCCATGAGTCTAGTTTTCCTGAGGCAAGATCAACCGTTTGATTAGAGCCTGCCTTATCAAATCAGGAGAGCACTCATTCCTCATTCTGGTCCAAGGCCACTACACAGCAGGTACCCACACTGTTCAGTAAGTGAGAAGACAATTGGGCAGAAGTGAGTTTTGCCTCTAAGGGGATACGTGGAGGATGTGTGGTGCTAGCACAAGGAACTATCCCCTATCAACATGGTGAGTAAAGGAGTTGGGGGACATTTGAGAGCTGCCCTTTGGGTGCCAGTGAAGCCGGTTATAGAAGAAGTGATAAAGTTTCCAGGATGGAAGAGGCAGCAGGGGCAGAACTGAGAGTAAAAACCGTATGTGTTCACTCAGGCCAGACACCCTAATCTTTCTGAAAGTGTCATCTTACTTAATCAGTGTACTGAATGGTGGTGGTTCCCCCCCACATTAACATGGGGGTAAATGTTACAGTAGCTTACAATCAAGGAATTATGGCAGTTTGTTTTCTCCAGACCATTGAACAAAGTGGGGGAGTTGATGGGCCTGGACCGTGGCAGGTCTGATGACAGACATCACTACACGTTATGCTCAGGATAGGACTTTGCTGCTGAGGGACTTTTGGGCGTAAGTGAGCACTCAGGGAGTACAGAGAATAACCAGAAAGGAAAAGACTGAAGAAGCAGTATTCTTTGAAAGACAAAGTAACTTCTTTGAAAAGTTATACTTGTCCAATAATGAAAGCTGGGTCTCTGTTGGAGGGTTGGGATGGAGAAGGCTGAGGGAAATTCCATAGGATAACTGTTAGGACCTGGTCAGTGATAAACAGGAGGTGGGCATGGTGACCTCATTTATCATGGAGGATGGATGGTGGGGCCTATGACTAGGATTATATTGGGAAAGTACAAATGTCATCTAGATGTGTTTGAGTTTTAGGTAGGGGTGTGGGTGGGTGGGGAGCTGGAGGGCTGGGATTTGAGGAGGGAAGGGAGGACATCCTGAGGAGAGGGAGGCACAGAAAGAGAATTAGGTGTGTCTGGAGCTCCAGGAATGCTCTAGGCAGGTGATAGATTTTAGGGGAACCTGAGAAATTGGGATAGTGAAGAGTGTACTAGCCTAAATAAGATCACTCAGAGGGAAGGGGGAGGGAGAAGAAAGCATCCAGGAAGGAATCCCCAGGGAAGTGCACCTGTGAGGGGCACAGAGCCAGGAAAAGGCCTCTCTGGGAGAGTTTGGAATGAAGACGCCAAGGAGAAGAAAGGGCCAGTTGTGAAAGGCCAGCAGGACAGAGGGCACTGCTGAGTGCTGGACACGTGTGTACAGAGTCCTGAGGAGAAGGGCACCTGTCCCGGTGGAGTCACAGCAAGGAGGCCAGTGTGGCTGAGCAGGGAGAGAGAGCAGGGCCCGTAGATGAGGTCAGAGAGACAGGGGCCAGATTGTGCCAGAAACAGCACCGTTTGGGCCGCTGTCACACCTACCTTGGGGTTTCATTAGAGGCAGCAGTTCTGTGCACACGTCTCAGGTACCAAAGAAGTTTGTTTTTATCGTCACTTCTGCTTGAATATGGAAGGGTTTGGGATCATTAGCTGGTATGGAAGGAGAATAAGTTAGTAAGTAGTAGCCTTCTAAGAATATTCCATGCAGCGACAATAACATTTTGGTTGTATGTGCAATCTGGTCAATTTTCAAGTGTGCACGAAGTATCTCTGTGTATAACCCTGTGGGATTTGTTGTGTATTTCAAAATAAGTAAAAGTTCATGGAGGGGTGCCTGTGTGCTTTAGTTAAGCGTCTGACTTTGCTCAGATCATGATATTGCAGTTTGTGAGTTCAAGCCCCACATCAGGCTCTGTGCTGACAGTGTGGAGCCTGCTTGGGATTCTCTCTCCCTCCCCCCAACCCCCCCGCTCACTCTCTCTTTCTCTCAAAATATATAAATAAACTTAAAAAAAGAAAAGAAGACTCATGGAGATTCTCAAAGTCTCATTGGGGAAAAACATGCAAAAACCCATGTGAAGTCCCTGAGAGTCTGATCCATGTCAATGCCAAGGTACTTTTGCTGGAAAGGCTTGCAATTCTTAGAGGGTCCTGCTCTCCCTCTGCCTTCAGTCCATCTTCTTCCCTAGGGAGACCATTCTAGAATGGATCCCTTTGGAGCTATGGCCCCACAGCAGCAGTTCAGACACCAGCCCCAAACCCACTCTGGGTGGTCCCCTAAGGGTGGTCTCCTTGCCAAAGGGTTCCCATGTTCTTACTGTCAAAGAAGATGCCCACGTTGTTGACCAGCACATCCAGGCCCCTGTACTCCTTTCGCAGGAAGTCACACAGGGCGCGGATGCTTGGCAGGTCGTCAATGTGTAGCAGGTGGAAAGAAGCAGGGACCCAGGCCCTCAGCCTGGAGCTGCTGCATGGCCCCTATCACCACACCTCGTCCCGCGTGGTGAGCACCATGTCCCGGAAAACTGCCAGCACAGATCACGCACGATGGTGAAGCCAATGCCCTTATTGGCCCAGGTTACCAGCACTGCACGGATGTGTGTCAACATGACTGTGTGGAGTGCAAGTGAGGCGCTCTGTGTGGAGTGGATGGTGCTGCGGGCCACACCAAGGGCTAGTGGTGCAGAGGCCTGGCCATAGTCAGAGATGCCAGTAGAACTGTGTTCTTGGATCCAGTGCTGTGACTCCTAGAACTCCAAGAAAGGAGGGGCCAAGGTACCAGAAGTTTCCCTAATGATGCTATACCCAATCTGTCCCTCCTGGGCCTGCACCACGAGCCCAACCAGGACTGTGTGCTCTCAGGATCCCTCCTCTGAACCCAGCATTGGTTCCAGTTGGAATGCTGTGCTCCCCCAAATAAAGGTGGCTGGTCATGGGTTTGTAAGGGGTTGAGATTCATGGTAGGTGAAGTAAAATTATTTTGGGAAAACCCCAGCAGAAATAAAGGAGTACAGATATTGTCTTGGGAATGTGTCCTTCTTCCTCTGCAGAATGGATAATGTTGCTTTCTTTCCAAGATGCAGTGAAGTCGCTTACACAGAACTGCGTTTGGGGACTCAGATCCCCTTGCTTTTCCAAGCGCAACTCAAGAGGGAGAAGTAGAGAATTAGGTCCTGTCCTAACTTTTGGGCTTCTTCTCCCTGGGTATGACTCCCAGTGGGTTCTGAGAGGGAGGGAATGTTTATGAGGGTCACCGAGTGCGGAGGCATTGTTTAGAATGTTTAATGGTTATATAATCCCATTCGCCTAAATTGCCTATTTCTTGGGTTCCAAGGTCACAGTAAATGTTATATGTATCTAGTATTATTTTTATGGTATCAAAAAAAAGATGTTTGTGATACACTGCAGAAGGAGCAATTGAGATATGTTTTCTTGCTTACACATTGAGTTTCCTTATGGTCAATTTAGAATTACAAGCTCACAGGGTGGAAATTAGTTTTCCCTTTTGAAGTGAAAAACTTCTAACATAAGGACCCTATGCTTTCTTTCTGGGTCTATCACCTTTCATTTGGATAAGCCTGAAAATCCCTGGTGAAGAGTGAAAAGTAATCAGTAAGTAAGGGCATCTTTAGAACAGGGATGTTCCTGTGAAGGGAGGCAGGTGGTAGATGTTCATTCAGTCACCCAGGAGCCAGGCTTGGTTTGGGCAGAATCTTCTGTCACTTTGGTGTCTCGGGCCCTGTCATGTGGACTCATGATGCACATCCAGTCCATACTCAATCCCCGCCTTGTCTCAGATTGCCATATGGACGTATTGTGAGTGCCCACTCCATTTCACACTTGGCAATTGTTTTTTCCCAAGGAGTCTGATATTTTCAGGGGCCACAGCAGATGTGTTGCCCAGGCTATACTAGAGGCTGGTGAGATATGCTGCCAGGCACATCCAACCATTCTCATTGGCTCTGGGTTCTTTCAGCTACAACAGCGGATCTAGAAGATCATATAGGGATGTGTGGCCTGCAAAGCTAAAATTATTACTATCTGTCTTTCTATAATGTTTGCTTACTCTTGAATTAAACTGTAACTTCTCTTGATCTAATTAGGCATGTTAGATTTCTCAGCTGGTTTAGCATATACAGTCTATACAAAGAGGCATTTATAAAGAACCATTTATTCATTTCTGGTGTTCATTATTTTACTCATTTCATTTTTCTCTGCCTTTTCACAGCAAAAAACAAAACAAAACAAAACCCCTCCACAGAATTAGTAGCCTACTCAAATTAAATACAAGTAGGGATATTTTACACTTTTGTTTTGTTTTGGATAGGATAGTCTTGACATTAGAAGTCCTTTTGGGCAAGGGATGGGGGATCACAGAGGGGCCCATGGATAGAGCTGTGAATTTAGCTCACCACTGTTCAACTTTCTTCTCCATAACAAACTTCCCGTGAGGTCCCTCAGCATCTGAGGGCAAAAGGGCCAAGTAGACGGGGGTTTCTGCTCCTTCTTCTGGGCTTTTAGTGGCGTTAGGTCCGGCCATGTCTGTTCTCACCCACCCAGGGCAGCAGGCATTCAGGAGGATCCTGTCCCCTCTCCGCTGCTCACTCAGTGTCCTGGCATGGATTCTGGACAGGACCGTGACACCAATTTTTGTCACTCCATATGCAGTATCAGGCCAGCCCTCCTTCCTGTGCATCCCGTTCTTTGTGTCTTCCACGAACTTGTTCATGAGCCCCACCAGCTCCTCCTCTGTGATAGTCTCACTTCTGAACTTCTGCTGCAGTTCTGGGCTGCAGTTTTTAAGCGATCTGAGGCTCACTACGCTAGACACATTGACCACTCTGCCTAAAACACAAGACAAAATGTTACGGAGAAAGGCACAGGAAAGATGAATTCCAATTTCACTAAGATTTTGTACTAGAAAATTTCCACCTATTATTAGTTTGCTGTGAGCACTAATGAAGACTGCCTGCATGAGTCAGGGACAGGACACGATCTTGAAACTTGTTATACCCATAATATCTCTGTTGATGCCTGAGACATGCTCTAGGGGAGGGTGCTGGCAGATGTTCCACAGGAAATGGGAAATGGTTCATATGAGAACATGCCGGCAAGGATGAATGTAGGCCTGAGAGCCTGAGTGGCACTCTGTGGGAGATCTGCTCACGTGATATGTTGATGAACTGAACCAACTGCCAGTGACCAAGTGGGACTCTTAACAATGTGCTGGCATCTCTTGACTCTTATTTTTGTGTTAGGTGTGCTACTGCACTGTGATGTGGTGTCACAGTGGACTTCTTAGATTCAAGTACTATTTATAAATGAATCATGATGATATGAAGAGTGATGACCAAATGTACTAGAAGACTGAGTGAAAGTCTCCTCAGGATGTAATACTGATAGAAAATGGCTAGCCTGATGAAGAACTGGATTTACCTGTCAGCTAATTTCTGTACTGTTAATCAATTAAACAAGGAGGCCATCACTTTGTGGTGGCTCTAATAGCCTGGTGGCATATGTAGCTAACCAAAATCAATGCCTGTAAGTGACCCGAACTTACAAAACTGAAACCTAAGGACCACCAATCACAACCAACCAACTAAGCTTGAAGTTGTATTCAATCAGTAATCTTACTTTAATTCTGGGTTTTTCTGTATAATAGTCTTTCCCTGGGCACCTGTTGATGGAGCATTGCTAACTATTTCTGGTTTTGTGCTTCCTGATCCAAATACAGTTGAACCTTGATAACCCACATATTAGGAATTACTGAACCCCCACGTAGCAGAAAAACCCACATTAACTTTTGATTCCCCCAAAACTTTACTAATAGCTTGATTTTGACTGAAGGTATATCCATGGCATAAACAGTCAATTAACACACATGTATTCTTACAAAAAAGTAAGCTAGAGAACAGGTTATGAAAATCATAAATAAAAGAAAAATATATTTATAGTACTGTATGTATGCTTATTGAAAAAAATGTGCATATAGGTGGCCTAGGCAGGCCGGGGGAGAGGCATGGTGGTGGAGGCCTCTACACGTGACAGCAGCCTGGAGCGACAGTAGAGCTGCCTCATCTGTCTGGAGATGTACCACTGTCCTGTGGCCATCAGCAGCTATGGCCACATGTGAGTTTGCAGGCCTGGAGGCGATGGGGAGGGGTCTGCACCTGGCCTGGGCAGGAGAAGAACTATGTGTGTCTGGACTCTGGGAACGTTCTAGGCAGGTGATAGACTTTAGGGTGACCTGTGAAATCTGGATAGTGAAGAGTCCACTACCTGAATAAGATCACTCAGAGGGAAGGGGGAGGGAGAAGAAAGGTCCACAAAGGAATCCCCATGGAAGTGCACCTGTGAGGGGCACAGAGCCAGGAAAAGGCCTCTCTGGGAGAGTTTGGAATGAAGACGCCAAGAAGAAAGGGCCAGTTGTGAAAGGCCAGTGGGACAGAGGGCACTGCTGAGTGCTGGACACGTGTGTACAGAGCCCTGAGGAGAAGGGCACCTGTCCAGGTGGGGACACCACAGGGAGGTTGGTGTGGGGGAGCAGTGAGAGGGAGCAGGGCCCATAGATGAGGTCAGAGAGGCAGGGGCCAGATCATGACACAAACACCACAGCTTGGGTGCCTTGTCACACCTACCTTGGGGTTTCATTAGAGGCAGCAGTTCTGTGCACACGTCTCGGGTACCAAAGAAGTTAGTTTTCATCGTCACTTCTGCTTGAATATGAAATGGTGTCGGATCATTAGCTTCCCGGGAGAAAGAGAGTAGTGTTAATAGCAGCCGTGTGGTAAACTTCCACAGAACAGCAATATAAAGTTAGAGTGCATGTGAAATCTGGTGAATTTTGTGTAAAATTGGCCTCTAGTTAACAGTATTGTGTCAGTGACCATGTCCTCATTTGATATTGTTGTAGAATGCTGTAAGATGGCACCATCTGGGGAGGGTGGGTGAAGGGTGCACACATGGGACCTGTGTTCACGAGTTTGTGCCATCTTCGTGTTGATTTCAAAATACATTAAAAATCCGCCCAACTGCCCTCAAGTCCACTCCCAGAGTAAATGTGTGACAACCTGGAAAGAATCCAAGGTGTCCTATGAAACAGAAAGGTCATTCTGGATGAAAAGCGCCGCCATTCCCGTTGGACTTGGCTCCAGCCCCACCCCTGTCGCCCATCCCTCCTCCAGCCCTCAGAAGCCCTTTGGACGCCACGGGCGCGGAGAGCCCCACCGCAGCGACTTCCCCAACGCCCTGGCTGTAGGTGCTCCGGGTGTCCACCTTCCCCGCGCGCTCCCATCCCCTTACTCTTGAAGGCGATGCCCGCGTTGTTGACCAGCACGTCCAGGCCCCCGTACTCCTTGCGCAGGAAGTCGCGCAGGGCGCGGATGCTCTGCAGGTCGTTGATGTCCAGCAGGTGGAAGCGGGGGCTCAAGCCCTCGGCCTGCAGCTGCTGCACGGCCGCCCGGCCCCGCGCTTCGTCCCGCGCCGTGAGCACCACGTCCCCCGAGAACTGCCGGCACAGGTCGCGCACGATAGCGAGGCCAATGCCCTTGTTGGCCCCGGTCACCAGCGCCACGCGGGTGTGTGACGACATGGTTGTGCGTGGGGCTCACGAAGTACTTGCACGGGAGCCGACCGGCTGGAGACGTCTGTCGCACTCGGTGCCTCTGGAACGTATGCGAGAAGTTCGGCGCGCGTGCGCGAGGTCAGAGAGCGGCAGGGGCTCACGGACAGGACGCACCCCCCTTGGGGCGTGGCTTCGCCGGAACCTCCCAGGGGTGGTGGAGATAGGGAAGGGCCGGTGGACGGCAGAGGGTGATTTGGGGGCTGTCTGCCTGGCAGCGGAGAGGATCATTGCAAGAGGAGAGGATCTGTATTCTCTCAACTATTCAACTATTCACCTGTGTAATTCAAGAAGTAGGGCATTTGTAGGGACTTGTTTGTTTTTCCTGGTAAAGAAAAAAAATCTCTTGAAGTGTTTGGAACTGTAGTTGTGGAATAAGCTAGGAGATCAGGTGTGTGTTGTTTTCTTTTCTAAGTATGTGAAAGCAAATCTTCCGGCTTGTCCTTGGCTGGTTTTCACATAATAGTGGGGAACAGTCACTAAATCGTCACAAGATTACCTCCTTAGACACTTGCAGGGTCATCAAGTTACTTGTATCTAGGTCCTGCAGGGTACAGGTGGAAGGGCGGGAGCGGCGGGGGGTGGGTGGGTGGGGAAGGGGGGCGGTTGAAGTCTTTTTTCAGATTCAAAATAACTTGTCAGGGTGCATCTTATTTTCCCCATTTTATTTTTTATTAAAAACTTTAAGGTTTATTTTTGAGAGAGAGAGAGAGAGAAAGAATGGGGGAACAGCAGAGAGAGAGGGAGGCCCAGAATCTGAAGCAGGCTCCAGACTCTGAGCTGTCAGCACAGAGCTGGAGGTGGGGTTCAAACCTGTGAATCTGAGATCATGACCTGAGCTGAGGTTGGCCACTTAACCAACTGAGCCACCCAGGCGCCCCTCCCCATTTTATGTATGTATGTATGTATGTACGTACATATGTATGTATGTATTTAAATCTTTTATTTGTTTTTTAGAGAGAGAAAGAGAGCAAGAGCGGGGAGGAACAGAGAGAGAGGGAGACACAGAATCTGAAGCCGATTCCAGGCTCTGAGCTGTCAGCACAGAGCCAGACTGCGGGACTCGAACCCACGAGCTATGAGGTCATGACCTGGCCTGAAGCTGGACACTTCACCGACTGAGCCACCCAGGCGCCCCTTCTCCTCCCCATTTTAAAGTGAGGAAATGGATCCTCAGAAGTCTGTAAATTAGTTCACTGGTGGGAAGTGAATTTTTTTCTTATTTCTTATTTACAACAGAGGAAAAGGGGACTATAAAATCAAATCTCCTTTCTGTACTGCCCAGTATGTTAGCCATGAGTGGCTATTTAAATGTAAATTTAATTGAAATAATACAATTTAAAATCAGTGTTTAGTTACATTAGCCATATTTCATGTGCTCAGAAGTCGCAATGTATTAGTGGCCACTGTATTGGATAGTGCAGATTTATAATATTTCCATTACAACAGAAAGTTACAAGCAATGCTTTAGATAGATTCCAATTACTTTGTAATTCAAGGTAGGTTTCCAGTTAGTTACAAAAACCAAACAATCTGGGAAAAGGGAAAAGACCTTTGCTTTTTTTTTGACCCCAATTTTTATTGAGATAATTGCTGATTCGCATAGAGCAGTAAAAAATGATACAGAGATTCCTTACGCTTTACCCAGTTTTCATCTATGGTAATATTTTACAACAACATAGTACAATATCATAATAAGGATATTCACATTAAAACAATCCACCAGTAGTTTGGAATTCCTCAGTTCTACTTGTACTTATTTGTGTATTTGGATCTATACAATTTCATCACATGCGTAGGTTTATCTGTTCACCACTATAGTAGAGATGCTGAAAACATTTCCATCAGCACAAAGATCCCCATTGTTGCTTTTCTATAGCCAAACATCTCTCTCTTGCCCACCCCCATCTCCACTCCATTCCCTGGGAAACAGCAATCTATTCTTCATTTAAAAATTTTATTGTTTCAAAAATGTCACATAGATGGAGTTGTGCAAAACCTTTGGGGATTTTTTTTTTTCACTCAAGATAACTGTTTCTTTGTTTTGGATTTTCTCCTTTATCAAAGTGTATACTTGGTTTGTCATTTGCTGGCCTCTCTCCACACCACTCCCTACTTTCTTCTCTACTTGGGTTGAGCTAGTGTGAAAAGGAAATGGGATGAATTAAATTCACTGAATTAAGCCACAGAGATAGTACATGGTGTGCAGGGAAAATTTGGGCATGGTGAGGGGCCTGCTGTTTCAAAAGGCAAATTCCTAGAGGGCCATGAATCATATTTTCTGCCTGATTGTTTATCCTTTTGGTACTGGTACCAACACAAGACTTGATGGTTAATGACACAGGATGCTTAAGAAAATACAATGCACAAAATATCACATGGAAACATGAATTTAGCTTATGATGAAAGCGGTATTAACAATTATGGGGGTAAGAAAGAATTAGTCCAAAAATGGTACTGGGGAAAGGGAGTGATGACTGCATAATGTAAACTGATTAATTTCTATCAAGACAAAAAAGTGCTTTCTCACTTTTAAAATTTACAGTTTTGTAAATGCAACCATAAAACAAGTATAAGGATATATAACCAAAATTTGTGGGAAAAGGGTTTTGTAAGCATAAGAACAGAGGAAGCATCACAAAGAAAAGAACAGATTTGAGTATGGAAAATGTTTTGAAACTTTATTTTTGAAAAGCATGCTAATTTAAAGCTAATGAGTTAATCTCTATTTGGATGTCCAATCCCCTCCCCCCCCCCCCCCCCCAGCCTGGGTCACATTTGGGTCTTGATCCTGGTCGTGTATTTGCAAGGGCACCATTACTTTTCATAAATAGCACCTTGACTGACTTCTGAACAACTTGAGAAAACAAAAGAGTAAAGATGGAGGCCCCAGATCTTTATTAGTACTGCTAATGTTTAGCTTGGAAGCTATTCATGAATTGTGATTCAAGTCTGAGATCATCCTGGCTGCTATATGGAGAAAGAATTTTTATCATGTCTTTGAACTTGTGGAATAAACTCACATCTTTACTACCCACTGGTTCAAAGCAGTTGTTCTGTCCTAAAGTACCCAGTTCTTTTTTTTTTTTTTTAATGTTTTTTTTATTTATTTCTAGGAGAGAGAGAGAGAGACAGTGTGAGCAGGGGAGGGTCAGAGAGAGAGGGAGTCACAGACTGAAACAGGCTCCAGGCTCTGAGCTGGCAGTCAGCACAGAGCCCGACGCGGGGCTCGAACCCACGAACCGCGAGATCATGACCTAAGCGAAAGTCGGACGCTTAACCGACTAAGCCACCCGGGCGCCCCCTAAAGTACCCAGTTCTATGGTGTCTACTAACATAAAAGATGTAGGAAAACAGTAGTGTTAAATGACAAGTTATGAAGCTCTCAGGGTCTTCCCTTGCCCATGATTATTTACCCTCACAGAACTCTACTTGGCACCGGCTTTTCTTCTTACATTCTAAGCTTATTTAGATGTTCAATAAGCCTTCTTAAAAGGGTGGTGCATGAATTTTATCTCCAGGAATCAAATTGTGGCTGAGCTGCTTAGGAGATATGAAAATCTAAGCAATGTACTTAATTTTGTCAAAGATAAACAACACTGGATACTGGTTAAGGTGGTAAGGACAGATTTTAATCAGTAATATACTATTGAAATAGGAAAGTGGGTCCAGAATGAATTGATCTCAGGTTGCATTTATACAGAGGTGGCTGAATGTTTTAAAGGGAGATTAAGGGTGTTGAGAGGGGGAATGGAGGGGCTTGAGTAGAGTCAAGGAAGTGAAAAATGATCAAGAGTGGGTCAGTGTAAATGCTATTAGGCCAGCGATGTGGGCTACACAGAGACTGGGAGACAGAGGCCCTATCTTTTCATCTGATGATTATATTTCAAAGGAATGGCTTTTAAGTCCTTGAGAAAGACACAGCTGAGCTGTAGGAGATAGATATAACCTCAAATGGACAGAGGAAGGGCTCACAAATTGTGAATCCTTTTTAGTAAATCCTCTAAGACAGGGTAGTGAAGGGCCTATTATCAGTTGTTGGTTTGAACAAATACTAAATTATTTTGGCAGGTATAGAGGGCTAGGGCTATCTTAGGGATGTGGCTCTGGGCTATTAGAAACTATGTTAGTGTTTGCTTTTTAAAAATATAGTGTTAAGTCTTTTAATATGTGTATGGGGGGAGTGGATGAAATCAGTTGTGCTGTTTGTTCTTTGTATAGCCCAGGGTTGAGCTCCAGTTGAGAAGAAGCCCCAGAACAGCCTGGCTGGAGTTTGCAGAAGGGGAGCATCTTTGTCAATTCCCATCTAGAAAATGAGAGTAGACATTATTTTCCTCCTTCATAAAAGGAAAAATCTTGTTTCATCTGATCCTTTTCTTTCTGTCTTGAATGCATTTGTGTGAGGATGTGATGCTTGGAGCTGCAGCAAAACTGTGTTGACACCATGAGGAAACAAACTAACAGGTGAAAATTAGAAAGAGCCTTGGCCCTTGATGACAGCATGAACCATAGGTCCAAATCTGGATCTATTTCCAGTCCCTCCCTTACTTTTCATAAACGTAATTTTAGATAAATATACAGAAAAGTGGCAAATGTACTAGAGAACTCCCATATACTCCTCATCAAATTCTCCCTATTATGAACATCTTATTATTATTGGTCCCAAGAATGCAACATGGAACAGTAGTATTAACTAAGCTCCATGCTTTATTTGGATCTTACTAGCTTTCCACCTAAAATCTTCTTTTCCAGGATTCCCTCCAGAATACCACATTACATATAACTGTCATGTCTCCTTAATTTTCTCTGCTTTATGAGAGATTTTCAGAGTTCACTTGTTTTATACTAAGTTTGATAGATTTTGTTAAAGTACATGGTCGGGTATTTTGGGGTTTGTCTGATATTTTCCTCAAGGAGAAACTGAGATTATGAGTTTTGGGGAGGAATACCACAGAGATGAACTACCCTTCTTATATCTGGGGAATCATACATCAACATGCTTACTAGTCACCCTCATCACGTGACCATGGCAGTATCTGCCAGGTTTCTCTACTGTAGTTGATTTTCTCCCCTTTCCACAATGTAGTTTTTGGAAGCAAGTCACTAAGCATAGATCGCAATCAAGGCGGGGAAGGAGGCAGAAATTAAGCTCCATATCCAGGAAGGGTGTGGATTTCTCTAAGGCTGGTACCCGCAGAGCTAGGCCCAGGCAGGTGAAGTGGGGCGGTGCTAGCCGAGCAAAGGGGCGAGGCCGGGCCGGCTGGGAAGGGAAGGGCGGGGTCGAGCCAAAGGTTGCCAGGTAGGGCCGGATGCTACCTGGGCCTGAGTGCGAGACCGATGTCAGTGGGTGGAGGGTCCAAGAGAAGCCTGGCGGCTTTAGGGGTCGGGCCAGGCCGCGCGCACTACTGGTTTCGTCCCCTCTATTAGAGAACGAAGGACTCCGCAGGCCAGCTCTATGGAGCTCACCTTCCTCGCCGGGGGCCGCTGGGTTTTCTTTCCACAGGCTCCGGCGGGGCGGGGCGGTCGAGGCGTTTCCGGGACACTGGGCGCACGCGCGGGAATGCGCAGGCGCAGTCGCACTCTAGGAGGATGGTACTGCAGTAACGCGAGACGTCCGCGGGGCGACTGAGGACTCGGTTGGTCAGGACTCGCGGCGGGCGGGACTGAACTGGGCCTCTCCCTCAGCTGCCGGGGCTCTTTCCACAACTCGCGTGTCTCTGCGGCGCTGTTTTAGCCTCGCTGTGCCCGCCGCCGCCGAGGTGAGCCGGAAGGACTACGGGGCGACGGACGGTGGTGAACCGGGGGTCCGGGTCCCGGGATCGGGGCGCGCTGGAGCCCCGTGTGCTTTCACAGTTGGGTGTGAAGAGAACAGCTCAGCTCGCAGACCCCCAGCGGCCCTGGCGTTACGCTGCGACTGCAGTAACCTCCGTCAGCCGGACGTGCTTCAGCGGGTGTAGCCCCTGGACCGCGGTTGAGTCGCTCCGGGGGTGCGCGAGGCCTGCCGGGAGTTCGTACCGCGGGGGCCGTGACCCGCCTCCCGCGCGACTCTGCGCCTGTGAAGCGAGGTCCGTGCCGTCCGTCGCGCTGTCACCCGGCGTCCTGGTGCGGGCGGAGCGCCGGGCCCCGGAGGGGACTTGGGGTAGATGAGGGAGCCTTCCGCTGCTGGGGTGGGGTCGTCGTGGTGCCTGGGCTTCCTACTGTTTCCGTCCCGTTATTTCTGCGTTGATTCTAAAACCAGTCGTGCGTGTGGTTCCAGTGCTACATATGCCCCTAAGTAATATTCATGTTAGGTCACTTATGTGTTCAGACACACGGAAGTCAGAGAATGGGAGGGTAGAAAAGTAATAGTAACGGCCCCTCCTCGGGCACGTTTTTGAATGTCCTTCCTTAAATTCTCTTGTTTTATAAACATGCAGCATGTGTCCACAGCGAAGCCCAAAGGCGTCATTGAAGATTCCGCAGCTTAATTTTTCCATGTAATGTGTCTTGAACACCGCACATACCTTCTTGTAAATGGCTGTATGATACTCCACCCCATTGTGTGTTGAATGGATTTCATTTTTTATGCTTCCAAAGACATAGCATGTAGAGACTGCAGTAGTCCCTTTTTGGCAGGAAAATATCATTTTTAAAAATGTAAATTCACGTTAGGTAACATATAGTGTAGTATTGGTTTCAGGAGAATTTAATAATTCATCACTTAGATGTAACACCCAACAAGTGCCCTCCTTAATGCCTGTCACCCATTTAGCTCAATCCCCTGTCCACCTCCCCTCCATCAACCCTCAGTTTATTTTCGTGTTTAAGAGTCTCTTATGATTTGCCTCCCTTTCTGTTGTTATCATATATTTTTCCTTCCATCCCTCTGTGTTCACTTTCTTTTTATTAAAAAATTTAAAAAAAATTTTTTTGAGAGAGAAGAGTACATGCAGGGGAGGTGAAGAGAGAGGGAGGGAAACAGAATACGAAGCAGGCTGCAGGCTCTGAGCTATCAGCACAGAGCCCAAGGGAGGGGGAGGTGGGGGGCAAACCCATAACCTGGAAGATCATAACCTGAGCTGAAGTTGGATGCCTAACCAACTGAGCTGTCCAGGTGCCCCCATCTGCTTTGCTTCTTAAATTGCACACATGTTGGGGCATCTAGGTGGCTCAGTTGGTTAAGCATCACACTTCACCTTAGATCGTGATCTCAAGGTTCATGAGTTTGAGCCCTGTGTCCAGCCTGTGCTGACAGCTCAGAGCCTGGAGCCTGCTTCGGATTCTTTGTGTGTGTGTGTGTGTCTCTCTCTCTGCCCGTCCCCGCCCCCCCGCCAAAAAAAACATTAAAAAAAAATTCCACATATGGAAATCATATGATATTTGTCTTTCTCTGACTTATTTTGCATAGCATATTACACTCTACTTCCCTGCACGTTGTTTCAGATGGCAAGATTTCATTCTTTTCGGTCCCTGAGTAATATCCCAATAGTCATTGTAGTTTTTATGATGATTTGTTTGTTTTGTCTGCCTTCTTGGCTCTCATTCCTTCTAGTTTTTTGCAACTCCCCATTTACTTATATTGATTTCAGGATCCTAGTTTTAAGAACAAATTATTTACTTCACACTGAAAGAGGATTTAACAGAAAACAAAACTATTTAGAGAGAGAGCATGTGTGTGTGAGTGGAGGAGGAGCAGAGAGAGAGGGAGAGAGAGAATCCCAAGTAGGGTCTTTGCTGTCAGTGCAGAGCCCAACTCAGGCCTCAAACTCATGAATGGTGAGATCATGACCTGAGCTGAAATCAAGGGTCAGACTCTTAACCAAGTGACCCACCCAGGCATCCCAGAATTTTTTTCCCCCCTCTAAGAAGTCTTACCTTATAGAAGCTTTATGACTACTGTTTTTTCAGTGTTAGACTGGTGCTTAGTAAATGTTGATTGGAATTGAGATACATAAGTCACCAAAGCACACAGTTGTGAAATCGGTTATGAGGATTTTGATGATTAATCAGCATTTAGTAGGACTTTAACATAAAACTGTTTTAGAGTGAGCAGTATAATGGGCGGTTCGTTACTGCTTAAGGAGTGATGATTTAGCTCACAGTATAAAGGTTTTTGTACAAAAACACTAGAGAAAGTCTTTACTAAATATAAGCTTGTGTGTTTAAATCCTTGTAGGTACAAAGAACAATGCTTATCATACAATTGGAAAGAAAGGCAAAGAAATTATATTAGATTGGGCACCTGAATAGAAACTGCAGTTTTAGTATGAAGATGGGAAGAGGAAGAACAAGCCGGATCAGAAGACAGAAACTCTTCAGAAATTCTGTCTCAAGAGGAGGTACGGTTTTGATCTTTTGGTGCCGGTGACGAAGAAAAGGAATCTCTTGTTGATTGGTATTAACAGATACATGTAGCTTTTCTCAAAGGCACATGCGCAATGTTCAAAGAGAATATTTCTTAATACTTTTTTAAGGAATACCATTATGTTCTTTTAAACTCTTAAGGGAATGTCAATATATTTCTCATTGCTTCACCTGTTTTTTAAGTTTTTTTTTTAATGTTTTTTAAAATTTATTTCTGAGAGACAGAGGCAGCGTGAGCAGGGGAGGGTCAGAGAGAGAGGGAAACACAGAATACGAAGCAGACTCCAGGCTCTGAGCTAGCTGTCAGCACAGAGCCTGATGCAGGGGTCAAACCCACGAACCGCAAGATCATGACCTGAGCGGTAGCTGGATGATTAACCAACTGAGCCACCCAGGCGCCCCTCTCATTGCTTCACCTTTGTCTTCTTTGGGATTGACTTCAGGCTTCTGTTTCCAGTCCTGACCTTTTTCTTGACCTATAGCTACCTGTAGAGTATCAGTGTTTGGGTGTAAATCCATCATTTCAGATTCAGTATAACTGAGTCTGAGCAAGACGTATGTGGAATTGTTTGACCAACAAATGCAGTTGTTATTTTTGATGAAAGTTAATAAAACTTTTCCTACTTGATCCCAAGCCTGTCAGCACCATCTGAGGCAATCTTTTCCTGTTTCTTTGCTCTCTCTAGCTAGTGTCCTACTAAATCTTGTCTAGTTTTTGTTAGGTAGCTTCTTCCACTCCATCTACTACCGAAAGATTTCAGCTGGCTCTTTGCTGGTTTATCTACACCCTTGTTTTTCTAACTTGCTTGTTTTTCCATTTGTTGCTCTCAGTCTAACTTTCCTAAGGGACTATTCTCATGTTGCCCTTTGGTTTAAAAGCCTCCGTGGATCCTCATTCTATTTTGCATGATATATGAATTCCTCCTCCTCCCTGACATTACCTCCCTTATGTGGGGGCTTCACCCTGCCACTGCATGGACCAGAAGTATGTTCTCTACTTGCCGCTCCCTGGGCACACCCTACATATGTCTACTTCTGCCATTCCTCCAAATCCTTCTTCAGTCCAGATCACTGGTTTTCCTTCTCTTAGAACTTATTCAGCTTTTCTCCAACCTTTAAGACTGAGCTGAGATCTTATTTATTTGGTAATGCCATTTTTAAGTTTTTACTAATTGTCACCCTTTGCTATGATGCTTATTGGGTGTTTACTAAGATAGCGTCTTAGTAAATCCTCTTCTATATATCTTTTTGCACTATTATTCTTTTATTGTTTTTTGGGCTGAAAATGCTAATTTTTATTTATTTATAAGTTATTTAATTTTTAAAATTCCGGTACAGTTAATGTACAGTGTTATTCTAGTTTCAGGTGTACAGTATAGTGATTGCACAATTCTATACATTACTCACTGCTCACCATAAGTTCACTTTTAATCCCCATCACCTATTTCTCCCACCCCCCCACTCACCTCCTCTCTGTAACTATCATTTGTTCTCTATATTTAAGAGTGTGTTGTTTTATTGATCTCTTTTTTTCTTTCTTTGTTTCTTAAATTCCATGTATGAGTGGAATCATACAGTATTTGTCTTTCTTTGGCTGACTTATTTCACTTAGCATTATACCATCTAGATCCATCCATGTTGTTGTAAATGGCAAGATTTCTTTTTTTTTTTTAATTTGGTTAGGTAATATTGCATTGTGTGTGTGTGAGAGAGAGAAAGAGAGAGAGCGCGAGAACCGCCTCTTCTTTATCCATTTGTCTTGTCAGTGAACATTTGAGCTGCTTTCATAATTTCGCTATTGTAAATAATTCTGCAATAAACAGAGGGGTGCAGGTGTCTTTTGGAATTAGTGTTTTTATATTCTTTGGGTAAATACTCAGTAGTGGAATTACTGAGTCATATGGTAATCCTATTTTTATTTTTTTTCTGTTTTTAATTTTTTGAGGAAGCTCCTTATTCTCTTGGTCAATGGCTGTATCTGATAACATTCCTACCGATAGTACATAAGTGTTCCTTTTTCTTCACATACTCACTCATACTTGTTTCCTGTGTTTTTGATTTTAGCCATTCTGCAATCACAGGCGTGATGTGATATCTCATGTGGTTTTGATTTGCATTTCCCCGATGATGAGTGATGTTGAGCACCTTCTCATGTGTCTGTTGCCATCTGTATGTCTTCTTTGGAAAAATGCCTTGTTTTCTTTTTCTTGACTACTGAGAGTTCTTTAGGATATTCTGGATATAAGTCTTTGATCAGATAGGTGTTTTGCAAATATTTACAATTATTCTGTGGTATTTCTTTACATGCTCTTAACAGTTTCTTTTGATGAACAGAAATTTAAAATTTTCATGAAGTCCTGTTTATCAATTTGCTGTTTTAGGGATCTTCCTTTTGGTGTTGTACCTAAGAAATTTGCATAAGCCTGGGTTGCAAAGATTTTCTAGTATGTTTTCTAGTAGTAGTTTTATAGTTTTAGGTTTATATTTAAGTCTTTGATTAATTTTGAGTTAATTTTTATAGATGGTACAAGATAGGACTAAGTTCATCTTTTTTTGCTTATGTAGATCCACTTGTTTCAGCAATATTTATTGAAAAAACTATCCTTTTTCCATTGAATTGCTTCTGTACCTTTGTAAAAAATCATCTATTCAAATGTGTGGGTCTATTTTTGGATTTTCTATTCTTTTCCATTGATTTCTTTATTAGTCTTGGTGACAGTATCACATAATCTTGGTTACTATAGCTTTATAATAAGGTTTGAAATCAGTATTTCAAAGTGTTTTTGACTATTGTAGGTCCTTTGCATTTCCATATGGATTTTAGAATCATTTTGTTAATTTTTACAAAAATGCCTGCTTAAATTTTGGTTGGGATCATATTGAATCCATAGATCACTTTGGGGAGAATTTGACATTTTAACAGTGTTTAGTCTTCTAATCCATAGACACGGTATATTTCTCTGTTTATTCATGTTATTGACTTTAGATCTTTAAAAAAAATATTTTTAATTGTGGTAAAATACATATAGCTTAAAATTTACCATTGTAACCATTTTTAAGTGTACTCCAGGAGTGTTAAATGCATTCATATTGTTGTGCGATGAATCTCCAGAACTTTTTTCATCTTGTAGAACTGCGAGTCTGTACCCATTAAGTAGTAAACTCCTCATTCTCCACTTTTCCCTTGCCCCTAGCAACTACCATTCTGCTTTCTGTTCCAATGAGTTTGACTATTCTAGATACCTCATATAAGTGGAATCATAAAGTATTTGTCTTTTGTGACTGGCTTATTTCACTTTGCATAATGCCCTTAAGAGTCATCTATGTAGTGTGTATCAGAATTTTCTTCCTTTTTATAGCTGAATAATAATCCATTGTATTTATGCCACATTCTCTTCATCTATCTGTGGATATTTAGTTTTTTCTACCTCTTGCCCATTATGAGTAATGCTGCTATAAACATGGGCAAATATCTCTTTGAGATCCTGCTTTCTATACTGGCTGTATACCCAGAATTGGAGTTGCTGGGTCAGTTCTGTTTTTAATTTTTTGAGGAATCATCATTGGTTTCCACAGCAGCTGCACCATTTTACATTTCCACCAACAGTGCTCAATAGTTCCAACTTTTCCACATCTTTGTTAACACTTTCTATAATTTATGCTTTTTTTTTTTTTTTTTACAGTAGCCATCCTAATGGGTATGGAGTGATGCACATTATAGGTTTTTTATCTTAAATTTTTATTTATTTATTTATTTATTTATTTTGAGAAAGAGAGAGAGAGAGCATGAGAAAGGGAGAGGTAGAGAGAGAGAATCCCAAGCAGGTTTCACACATCAGCACAAAACCCAATGCGGTGTTCAGATCCGCAGACCATGAGATCATGATCTGAGCTAAAACCAAGAGTTGGACGCTAACCTGACTGAGCCACCTAGGTGCCCCTGCACATTGTAGTTTCAGTTTGCGTTTCCCTAGTGATTAATGATGTTGAACTTTAAAAAATATTCATTCACTATTTGTATGCCATTATTGAAGAAATGTCTCTTCAAGTCCTTTGCCTGTTTTTTAAGTGGCTCTTCTTTTTTCATACAGGCCTTTACAGCTGTAAATTTCCCTATTTCATAGTTCTGGAGGCTAGAAGTCTAAAATCGAGGTGTTAGCAGGATTGGTTTCTTCCCAGGGCTAAGAGGGAAGCATCTTTTCCAGGCCTTTCTCCTTGGCTTGTAGATGGTTATCTTCCTGTGTCTCTTCGATCATCTTCCCTCCATGCATGCCTGTGTCCAATCTTCTCTTTTATATAATGACACTAGTCATATTGGAATAGGGCCCACCCTAAATGACTAAATTTTAACTTGATTACTTCTGTAAAGACCCTATCTCTAAATAAGGTCTTATTCTGAGGTATTGAGGGTTAGGACTTCAACATATAAATTTTGGGGGTACACAGTTCAACCCATAATAGATGCCTTTTATTTATTTTTCTTTCCCTGTTACACTGGCTAGAATCAATAGTACAATCTTGAATAGAAGTGTGGAGAACAGACATGCTTGTCAGGTGTGTAAGCTGTAGGTTTTTTGTTAGATAGTCTTTATCAGGTTGAGGAAATTCTATCCTTGTTTGTTGGCATTATTTATCAGGAATGAATGTAGATTTTATCAAATGCTTTTCCTGAATCTTTGAGGTGATCATGGTTTTTCTTTTTTAGTTCATGTTACTTAGGCATGTTTTAAAATTTATTCTTTTTTATAATATGACTATCTAAGGCCATTACTTTTTAATTAATTACTTAATTACTTAATGTTCATTTAATTTAATTAATCAAAGTAATTAAATAATTAAAGTAATTTGATTAATTACTTAACACTGTACTTATTCTCTATTTTTTCTTTTTTCTCTTGATTAGTGACTGAGAGTTACAAGCCTGAATTTATAGAGCTTAAGAAGTGGCTGAAAGACAGAAAGTTTGAAGATACAAACTTAATACCTGCTTGTTTTCCAGGTAAGGCCTGTTATTAAAGTCTCATGACTTTTCTAATATGAGAGACCTGTGGTGATAGGAAAACAGGTGTAGTTCTTCAAGGTGGTCTGTATTCTCTCTGGGAGCACATCTTCTGTTGTGCCAGGTTTTCTACTTTGTAGCAATAATATTTATTTATCCTTCACCTTGTTCTAAAAATAAGTTGAGTGACTTATGAGGAGAAATTCCCAAATGATGAAATAATATCAAAAATTCTAAAAGGAAAAGGAGCATTGAAAAATAAGGTGAAGGAAGGGATAAGAGTAATATGTAAAAGCCCTGATTCTAAAATCTTGTTGTATACCTGGGAGGTGAGCCACAAATTTGACTTGTCTTTCCAGACACCAGACGATTTATATGATCAACACCTGAGTCTTTGTGTTCTATAAACAAAACTAAATTGTTTACTCAGCAGAAGTTCAGGTATTCCTGGAACTGAGACCTAAGGGAAATGTCTTTGTTGGGTTGTCATAGGGAAGGCATTTATTAATGTAACTGGTGTCCTTATCATCATGCTTATGGTGGTTTCATGGGACTTTTCAAACCATGTAGGCTGATGGGATTATCCATAGCTCAGGTGAGTCAAAATAATTTTCCAAGAGAAGGAGTTTCCAAACAACCAGTGGAAGTGCTCATTCTCTGGTGGTGTGGCTCGAGAAGAGGAGTCCTAGGGAGGCCTTAGCTGGCATGTGGCTGTGCTCCCCAAGTGTTAGAGGAGTAGCCCTCTCTGTGCCCTCTGTGTGGCTATAGCTTCAACAGTCACCTAAGCAGAGGCCAATTAACATAATTTTCTGGAGTTGAGGAGCTGGATATAGAGTTTGGATTAGTATTTTCTTCTGGAACATTCTCTCCTAGAACTTGGCAGCTTGCTCTGGGTGTGTGCTTGCATACAGTACCACCCAATTTTGTCCAGAAGGGGGCTTGAAGTATCCATGGAGAGGACCAAGATGCTCTTCAGAAGGATTCTGGGTCTGGTGTAGCATAGAGACGCCTATGCCTTCAGGGCCTTGAAGTTCTATATTGCAGGGCAGATACAGCGCACTAACCTTACAGAAAATTAAATCATATGCCTCTTGAGTGCTCCTTTTGGCCACTGAAATGATTAAGTACCTGTTACAAAATTTAACTTTGAGCAAATTAACTTCCTTATATATCATCAAGATAAATAATTGACCATGTGTGGCTCTGGTTGAATGAGGTGATGTATGTAGTTATACCCTATGTGTCAGTTATACATGGTGACTTTGGGCTAAAATACTTGCCATTATCTGTTAGGGCTGCTCGTATGTAAGATGGTAAACCATTTTTGTCAAGCTCTAACAGAACTTTTAACTTTCTGTTTTTGTGTGTCAGGAAGCACAAAAAATAGTAAAAGTCATGCTCTTAGATTTGACTGGATGGAGTTCTTCACAAGATGATCCAGAGAAAATTGTGTCGGGTGTGGACTTGTGTCTTTCACTGTCTGAGAAATGCCTCGGATTTCTCTCTGCTTTAAGAAGGATAGGATTAAAATGATCAAGCAGGGATTGGCATATGTTTACATGGAATGCCTGAAAATAAGTAATCTGTCTATAATTTGGAGCGGTAAAGAGTTACCATTTTTAGTTGGAACAACTCTTTCTGGGCCCACCTCCAGATTCATGGTCACAGAGAAGCTAAAGCAGAGCGGTTTGGTAATGATCATAGCCCACTACTTACATTTCTAGGGGCAAGGATCCTCTGTTTTAGTTTGGGTTGCTGTAACAAATTCCCATAGACTGGGTAGCTTAAACAACAGTTTCTTTCTCACAATTCTGGGGGCTGGGAAGTCCAAGATCATGGCATGGGCAGATTGAGTGTCTGATGAGGGCTGATTTCAGGTTTACAAATTGCCATCTTCGTGTTGGGTCCTCACGTATTGGAGAGCAGGGAGCTGGACAAGCTTTCTGGTCTCTTCCTACTGTTGCCGTAGGCACCAAGTCCCATTCATGAGGGTTCCATCCTATGACCTAATCACTTACCAAAGGCCACACTTCCTAATGCCATCACATTGTGGGTTGGAATTTTGACATGTCTTCTTTAAATGTTTTGTATATTTTTAGCTCTAAATCTAACAGGAGGGACCATTTATGGGAACAATTCTGGGTATTTAATCATGGTTTGTGGAGGGGCAAGGCAAGGCTCCTAAGTTGCAAGCAGGATTCAGTCTTTAGATTCTCATTAGATTCTCACCTGATTTATGCTTTGATTATTGACCCTAGTATTTCCTTTTGCCACCAAAAGCACTGGCCAATCTGGGTCTCCCAGTTAGACTTATGATCGCAGAAATTCAAGGTGCTGGGAAGTCTGTAATAAGCTTTACTTTTATAAGCTCCTAATGGCCTTATCCTCCTACCTTGCCTTAGTAAGTAAACGTTCCTGTGATTTGTTTTCTGATATTGATACTATGTTGTAGAAATACAGGTGAAATATCTTCCAGATTTATTTCATATGCCAGGTTCTGTTCCTATAAATATTTGAAGAGAAATTTCCACTTAGATTAGTACAAAGGTCTTTTAAAGGATGACCCTGTAGAAAAAATCCTCCCATTAGTAAATGGTTCCAGAAGGGGTTCTGACCCCCAGGGATGAGTAACTCTGTCGTGGGACATACAGAAGATATTTAAATAAGTTCCTAAAACCAAATAGTTAACAGACAGTATGCTTCTGGGTGGGGAGATGAGTTATGACTCCTCAAATCAGACTTGGCAGACACCTGATCGAGGACTCGAGGTAGAAGTTCCATCCATGAAGTAGGAGCTCCCAGTAGTCCTGCAGGGATTGACCTTTGCTGAATTGTATTATATTCCCTCCGAGTTGAGAGAAAAAGATCAAGAAGTGTGAATTTGAAAAGATGAATATTCTGGACCTCATATAATAATTATAGGTCATAGTGTACCTAGGCCTGCCAGAAAAGCCATTACCTGACTGTTACGGGAAGGCAGCCTTTGGCCTGGCAGGGTTAATTTCTGGGTGTTGGTGGTGTTGACAGTGCAGCTGGTGAAGTTACTTGCTGTGACTGCTCTGGCCAAGGCCTTGGTTCACAGGGAGGAGCTGGTCCTGGATTGCACCTGCTGAGCTCACCTGGTCAAGGAGAGTCTAATGACTTTCATGACTGGGGAGGGGAGGGTGTCATCTGCAGTCTTTGTGGGGCCTGAGTGGGTTTTACTGGCCAGCCAGTCAAAGAGGTCTCAAGATCATCATGGAGAAAGCTGGCCTGGTAGTGGGTAAGGGTAGCTGAGGGTCCAGCCTCTCAGCTTTGGTGGGCGTCAAGAGCAGACCCCCAGCACGGCCAGTAGGCCCCAGAGGAGAGGGTCCAGCTCAAAGGGGCCTGTAAGAGACACCACAGTAGATATGTGTAAAGTTGATTATCTTTAGGTCTTGCTTCTTTGCTCTTCAAGTATTATAAATGCAAAAGGAGGTCAGGATATTTTCCAGAACAGCTCCTTGATCCTCTGTTTCCCCTGAGAGCCAAAGGATAAAAGATGCCTAGCTTCAGCTTTGTGTAATTTCGAAGTTCAATCGCATTTTTCTTTTGAAAATGATATCCCTGAGATCTTGAAGATATCATAGGATTTACCCTTTTTTTTTCTTTTTGTGTCTTAGGTACAGGAAGAGGACTGATGAGCAAAACTTCCCTGCGGGTGAGAATTTCTCTTATCCTTAAACCTAATGTAGATTTTGCTGCTTTGTTTTTGTGCTTCAGATCAAGTGAATTAAATATTTCAGTCACACAGCCATTTTTTACCTAATGATAGGTTTGAATATAATTGTGTCAGGATTAAGTTTGCTGCGTATAAGAGACAAACCCAACGTAACAGTGCTTAAACAAAGTAGAAGTTTATTTTGCTCTCAAGTAAACAAGCCTGGATAGGCAGACCTGGGCTGGTGTGGTTGTCCCAGGCCGTTAGAGGCCCAGGCTCCTTCCAGCTTTCTGTGTACATCCTAGAGGAAGCCCTATACCCTCAGGTCCACGGTCTAGCTCCTGGAGCTTGAGCAGCAGCATGGAGCCAGGGGGTGAGGAAGGGCAGGCTTCCTTCTTTTAAGGAAATTCCAGCTCCATTGCATCCACAGTGACTAGGCGCACAGCCCCAGCTGGCTTCGAGGGAGGTGAGCCGCGTCCTTTCCCTGGAACCTCCAGATTCGAGTGCGTTAATGGCAGGAGGGGAGAAGGCACATTGGGTTGGCAGCTAGCCGTCTCTGGCACCGCCAATTGTATAAAGCAGACCATATTTTAAATGTGCCAGGGGAGGAAGGCGCTCTTATCTGAGAGGCTGTGTGTGGTGTATGAGTGCAGCCTCAGGAAGCAGAGAGCAGAGCCTTGGAGCCTGTCCCAGGGTGCAGGGTGGCCTTCAGCTCGAGACCCCCAACCCCACCTCCCCAAACCCCCAGCTTCTTTTCTCACCTGCAAAACAAGGTAGGTGACATAGGTGATCTCCCAGGCCCATTTTAGTTCTTTCTGTGCTATTTAAAGGACATTTAATGCACAGTTTTCTATAACGCTAGAAGTTAATCCTTTAGTTTATTTTTAGTTCCTTAATTATAATATCCAGCTGTGTACACATGTTTAGCCTAAAGAGTGGTACCATTTAATGTATAACTCTATTGTACTTTTATTTTTTTAATTTAAAAGTTTTACATTGGGATAAAATATATATGACAAAATTTACCATTTTAGCCATTTTTAAGTGTATGGTTCAATAATATTAAGTACAGTGACATTGTACAATATTTTTACTTACTTTTTTTGAGAGAAGGAGGGAGAGAGAGAGCAAGTGGGGGAGGGGCAGAGAGAGAGAGAGAGAGAGAGAGAATCCCAGTTTCCATGCCCAGTGTGGATCATGACTTGAGCCAAAATCAAGAGTCAGACACTAAACTGAGCCACCTAGGGAGCCCACAATACTTGTATTTTTTGAGAGAACACGTAATTGACTGTGCTCTATTTCTGGAGGAGAAACACGCCTCACATCTAAAGCAATAAATATAGGCCATCTTTGTTTAGATTCTGAAATGATAATTGGCAGTTGCTTCACATCTGCTTTCAAATACAGCTTTCTGTTAAACTTTTTGAACATTAGGAACATATTTTACACATAGTGAAATGCACAGATTTTAAGTGTCTAGTTTGTTAAGTGTTGATGATGAAGAGATTTATTCCAGTGAAGAGTATTTTATTAAGTGCCTTTTTTTTTAAGTCAGAAAATCGTGGGCTGTTGGAGTGGGAGTAGACTCTAGGGACCATCCAACTTGATCTTGAATGACAGATGTTGAAACCAGAAATTGAACCCAGAAGATTTTTGGCTGAGACTTTTAACCAACTTAGATGCCAGTTATAATGAAAGCCAGGATCTTAATTAACATCAGCCTTCTTAATGCTTTATTTCTTCCTGGTGTCTATTACTTGACATCTTAATTTTTCTTTCTGTGTTCTGTCTCAGTGGGAGGAACTGAAAGCTACACTTTTGCAGGTAGTAAATGAGACCCTTGTGTGGGCGGGCTGCCCTTTCTTTATCTAGTTGGCAGAGATGTTATGGAGAGTAGGCCATTGCTGGGAGTAGTCACTGGACGCATGGATTTCACCAGATGGAATGGTCTCTGCCATTTCCCACAGCTAGCACAATTTCCTTGTGTAAGAAAGTGAAGGAACAATATGATGTGAGTTGTCAAAGTGTTTCCGTATGTGCTGGTGAAAGGCTGACTGCTAGTGGATGTCAGTCACATGAGTCACCTTTGATTGTTGGTGGGGCTGCGGTCCCTGACATCGGAGCAGTCTTGCCTGCATCTGCTGACCCAGGGACTTGGGAGGCAGACTGCCGGTGGGCTCCTCGGTGTCCGTGGTTGGCTTTTGCTGGGTTCTTAGGAGGCGGTGGTGGACTCAAGACTTCACAGAACTTGTGCTCACAGGTTCTTCTCAAAGCATGGGTGTTCTAAACTTTACTTTCTTTTTGGTAAGGAGGGACAGGTGATTATTTCATTGCCTGAGAGTTGCCTGCTCACCACGGACACAGTGATTAGAAGCTACTTAGGGGCGTACATCGCTAAGTAAGTGACCACACCCGTGATTGTCTGCTCAAATGCTTGTCCTTTCAAGTCCACATCATCGGCAAATATGTCAACTAAGGCCTAGTTCATTAGGACCACCCCCTTCGTATACCTCATACATGTTTCTTCTCTGAAGTATGTTCTTGATTCCTTTTAAAGTGCATTTTTGAGCAAATCAGAGAACTCTAGATGCTGGCGAAGATGTGGAGAAACGGGTACCCTCCTACACTGTTGGTGGGAATGTAAGCTGGTACAGCCCTTCTGGAAAACAGTGTGGAGGTTCCTCAAAAAATTAACAATAGAACTCCCCTATGACCCAGCAATAGCACTGCTAGGAATTTAACCAAGGGATATAGGAATAGTGATGCATAGGAGCACATGTACCCCAATGTTCATAGCAGCACTCTCAACAATAGCCAAAACTTGGAAAGAGCCTACGTGTCCATCAACGGACGAATGGATCAAGAAGATGTGGTTTATCTATACAATGGAATACTACATGGCAATGAGAGAGAATGAAATCTGGCCATGTGTAGCAACATGGATGGACCTTGAGGGTGTTATGCTGAGCGAAATAAGTGAGGCAGAAAAGGACAAATATCATATGTTTGCACGTATAGGAGGATTAGGAGGAACTTAACGGAGGACCATGGGGGGAGAAGAAGGAGGGAAATGGTGGGGGAAAGGGAGAGAGGCAAACCATGAGAGACTCTTGAATGCTGAGAAGAAACTGAGGACTCATGGGTGTGGGGGGTGAGGGGGGAAATGGACATGGAAGAGGGTGCTTGTGGGGATGAGCACTGGGTGTTATGTGGAAACCAGCTTGACAATAAACTATTTGTAAAAAAAATAAATAAGTAAAGTGCATTTTTAAGGTTTTTAATAGGCTGCTTGGGATGTGGGTGTGAATCCTGATCTATCACTTATAGAAAATGAAGATAAAATGGGAGAATGGACGTAAATCATTCTGAGTGCCTTGACTCCTCGTAGCCTGTTCTCCTCCATCATCATAGGTCTTGACAAATGTTACTCTTATTTTACTGTACATGCTTGAATTCTCCTTCAACTATGAAGAGCTATTGACATTATGAAAGAGTTAGTTTTATTTAGCATAGGAGGAGGCCAAAAAAGGAGCTGAGAACTATTTTCTGGGTTTTGTTATAGGGGGCCTTTGTTTTGGGAGACTTTTATGAGGACAGAGTGAGTGAGATCCTTAGCAGAAGGGGTTTCTAAATTATGAGGGCTGAAAGATTGTATTGCTTCTTAACCCAAGGTAAGTTTTGGACTTTTAATCTCCTTGACATGTTTTTCGAAGGCAAATGTATCTTTATTGGCCTGAGTAGAAGCAAGGATACTCTTAGTATTAACATTTTCTGTATCATTCTGAAATTTTGAGTAGGATATTTTGCAGTGTAGAATCTGGACTTTGAAAGATTAATGAAAACTTTTCTAAATATATTCATGCAACATGAGATCTTTTTATTGGTAACAAATAAAAATACTGCAAGGTATAATTGGTAACTGACTGGGTACATTTCAGAATTAAAACTTTAGCAAATGTATAATGAGCTTCTTGAGTTTCTGTCTAGGTTAGTATCATACAGTAGAACTTTGCAGTGATAGCAATATTTCACTCTCTCTGGTCTAGTATGGTGGCCATTAGCCGCATATGGCTATTGAGTGCTTGATATGTGGCCAACGTGACTGAGGAACTGAATTGTAAATGTGCAGGGGTCCAGCCTCTGCAAGCCAGGGTTGGCCCAGAGAGTGATGGTTGGCGTCGGCAAAAGACGACACAGAGCCAGCCTCTTCAGGTGGACTGCTCAAATTTATTTTTCAGCTTAGGGTTTTTATATAGCAAATTCAAACAATCATGCTTAAACAATTTACATTTTTTTATTACAGTCATAGGACTTAACATTTCTAAGTTTTCTTGACAACAGTGATTTCATGGTACATAATTTCCACTTCAACCAATAGAATTCAACCAGGTAGTCATAACAAAGTTTTATATATTCTTTACTACGTATGACAGGGTATCTAAGGATAAGTGAAGTATATTGCCAGAATACATGAGATCACAGTGCTCTTTAATTATTTAAATTTAGTGGGCATGCAAAAACAGGATATACTTGTACCCGCAGTTGTAGGTAACAGACTCTCACAACCCCTTACTAAGAAAGAACAATGTCAACATTTATCATAGATGTTGTATGGAAATGTTTTACGTGGATCAACTAGAATTTGGTCTCTGCATTTACCAATCTCACTCTTTGGCCAGAACAATCCATAAGTTGCCTTACAGGCTTGAGGTCAGCAGGCAAATATTTCTCTAACACTTTTTCGAGAAAGTCCTCCACAACTAGTAAGTCTTGTTTTTGTCTCTGCTTATGGCATAATATGTATTCTTACTGGCAATTATTCAAGGAAAATGAATTCTAGGTCTCTTATAGACTCCATGCATACCGGATTGTCTCCAATTTTGCTAATTGCTACAATATTCATTAGACAACATCTGATTGAGAGGGCGGACATGATATTTAGGTACATTCCATTTTGGAGGAAGCGGGGAACTTTGGGCGATTCTGGTTTCATATTAACCCTAGAATAGACTAACAGCAGAAGTGAGAGTAAAAGGTACAGACAAAGTAGAGAAGAATTCTTCCGGGGGTTCTTCTGACTGCCTTGCAGTCTTCCCTGGGCCTTGCCATCAGGGATGATCTGCGCAGTCCTTTCACACAGGTGTTTCCCTGGGCCTTGCCATCAGGGATGACCTGTGCAGTTTCGGTCTTTGGCATAAATGCTATATTTAATTAAAAAAAAAAACCCTAAAACTGAAATAGCTCTAAGTAGTCTGTGCTTATTGGATGGGGCAGGTCTAGATTCTTTCCACCAATTTTCCCCCACCAAGTTTGATACCCTTATCCAAGTGAAATAAGTGAATCAGAGCAAAAGCTTAAAAAAATTGTTTTTTAATGTTTTATTTATTTCTGAGAGAGAGACAGAGTGAGCAGGGGAGGGTCAGAGAGAAGGAGACACAGATTGGAAACAGGCTTCAGGCTCTGAGCTGGCTGTCAGCACAGAGCCCGATGCGGGGCCTGAACCCACGAACCGTGAGATCATGACCTGAGCCAAAGTCGGACGGACGCTTAAGGGACTAAGCCACCCAGGCACCCCAAATCAGAGCAAAAGCTTTAAAACTAGAGAACCAGTTGGAAACAAAGAAGCTTGTTACAAAAGGGAATCCTGAAAAACAAAGCTGGAACTTTGGGTTAGTGAGCCAGTTCTTGTCACTTATCAGTATGACTTCTTTAGAGCGCTTACATCATGGTGTACTCTGGAGAGGAAAGTTTGAGGAGGCAAGAGACCCCCTTTTGGGCACTTGAAATAAGCTCAGAGTGTAACAACAGTTTGGCTACAGTCCCTCTGGGAGCAGAAAACACCATTAGGATATCTGTGTCTCTAGCTTATTCCATATTTTGAATAAAAGTATTATTTTTAATCTGCTTTTTAATAATTTAACAATTTAAGTTATTTTGGCTGTTAATTTTAACAGGTGGCACCCTCCTCCATCTCCTCTGCTGGCTCTGTGTACCTTTCTGGTTTCAGAAAAGCATGCTGGAGACCAGTCTCTGTGGAAACCTTACCTGGAGATTTTACCAAAGGCCTACACCTGCCCTGTTTGTTTGGAGCCAGAAGTGGTGAATCTTTTTCCCAAACCTTTGAAGGGAAAGGCCGAAGAGCAGAGAGCCCGCGTGCAAGAGTTCTTTTCTTCTTCCAGAGACTTCTTCTCTTCCCTGCAGCCTCTGTTTTCCGAGGCTGTCGAGAGCATCTTTAGCTACCGTGCCTTCCTATGGGCCTGGTGTACGGTCAACACCAGGGCCGTGTACGTGAAGCACAGGCGGAGGCGCTGCTTTTCCGCAGAGCCGGACACCTGCGCACTCGCCCCATTCCTGGATCTGCTGAATCACAGCCCACACGTGCAGGTGAGCAGTGGGCAAGGGGCATGTTCTGTTTTGACAGGAAGGACTCTGACTTGTAGAAACGGTGACTTTGAAACCATAGAGAGAGGTGTTGCTGTCATTAGGTAAAGCTCCCTGCCGCCAGGAGATTTTCTGTCCTTCCTCCCAGCCCCATTTTCCCTTCATAGCAATTTTTTTTTTCTTTTTTTCTTTTTTGTTGCTGTGTTTTCATACTCTGCTGTCCAGGCCCACAGTGCTCAGTGCTGTGTCCCCTGGATGGCCTTAACCAGCAGCCCCCTACCCCCACCTTTGGTGCAGACTCCTCTTTCATCCTGTCAGTGTGGGGACAGAGGTCCAGATTGCTGTCCTGTTCCCTCTCACACGTGGTGGCATCACTGTCAGCATTGATCTTTGCCGTGATTGCTGACTGACTTGCTGCCTCCCTCTCTGAGCTGTGTAAGGATGGAGACTCTGCCTTGTTTTGCCCGTTAACCACAGTGCTCAACACAGGGCCAGGCATGTAGTGGGCATTCTTTAAGCCTTTACTGGATGGATGAATATCTGGGAAATATTAAAGAGACCCTCTTTGGGAGGTAGTCCTGGATCTCGTCCCCAGCCCTTTCCCCCTGTGGCACGTAACAGAGACGATTATACTTGCAGGCTTGCTGGGGTTAAGTGCCTGGCTTCAAGGGCAGAGGTGTGCACATGTCGGCATACCTGTAACCCGCTCAGGGTACACTTGGAGATACACTGGCTGGGCCCTTGCCCGTGCTGTTCCCCTCGGACCCCACCCCACCTGGAGAAGATCGTTGGCATCTCGTTAGCCCACATGCCAGTGAGAGAAGAGTGTAGGGAGGCCCGTACTTTGCTTTGTTAGGCCAGGGCCATCTCCTTGCCTGTCTGCTTGTTGCTTTTGTAGAAAGATGAGTTTTTGACACTGTGAAGCAAAGGAGGTAGAGATTAGATGGGTGTCTCTGTGACTGATGTTAATGAAATAATGTCGGGGTGTGCAGTGTAATAGGATGCTGAACACAGGGACTGAGTCGGTCCTCACTGGCGTGACTTTTATTTTTATTGGGCTGTCAGTGCATTTGTGCTCTAACCCAGCGATTTCACAGCCAAGTGAAGGGGCATCACAAACTACAGCCTGTGGGCTTGTGGCCCCAGGGCTCTGGCAAAGCCTGAATTATTTGCCCTACAGCTCTTGATGGAAGAAAGATTGCCGATCCTTGGTTTAAAGATTTGCAGCTGGCTTTTGGCACATAACTCAAAACCATGGCCCTGCTCTGTTGTGCAGCATGCTGGGAATTTTAGCCCGTTGCTGGTCCTTGCCCTCACTGTGTAGTATGGAGGCCTTAGTGCCTGTACCCACTCCTTATTGTGGAGAGCGGGTAGGTCACCTTTGTCTTTTCCTCTGTCATCTGTTAACTAACAGAATTGTCACAAAATCCATGTGATTGTGTCAGTCAGTATCCTGCTGCTCAAAGGCTGTGTGTTGTACAATCTGAAGTTCCTCTGCTGCCTTGATGTCACAGGGCCTCACAGGGCCCCAGCGGCTTGACTGTGAGCCCCCTGCTCTCACTGGATATGCACCCATCCCCACGGTGGCCCCATCAGCTGGATTAGCACACACCACCTGGCCTCAACCTAGCAGCCTCCAGGTTCAGATTCCTGCCAGCCCTTGAGATTATTCAAGCAAGCAGTCACATCTTCCCATGGGAGCCAGGGGTCACCTCTTGTTACTCCAAATCCTGCTGCCCACGGCCCCTCCTAGTCACACTGCTCCTGAGTGTAGCCGGTGTGTCCTTACTCCCCATGCTGTATATGTGACTGGCAAACTGCTGTCAGTCTTACCTGTCCATTGTCAGGTGTCATGTGTGCGACCATCCCGAGAATCCTTGGGCAGGACCCTTCCCTCACAGAGGGGTTATGTGGAGGCAAACAAGAGGCCCAGTGCAGATGTGGCTTTTTCCACATGTGGTTAAATTCAGGGAGGAGTGTTTGAAAGCTGCATCTGCCTTAAATTAATACAGTAACTTAATATTTTTAGTTCTATGCTTGGTTTTAAAAAAACTTGAACAATTTTCCTTTCTAGGTAGAAGCAGCATTTAATGAGGAAACTCGCTGTTACGAAATTAGAACAGCTTCCAGCTGTAGGAAGCATGAAGAGGTGTTCATCTGCTATGGCCCTCATGATAACCAGCGGCTGCTCCTGGACTATGGATTCGTTTCCGTCCATAATCCTCATGCTTGTGTTTATGTCTCAGAAGGTTGGAATCAACTTTGTTCTTACTAAGATGATATAATTCTTTTTTCCTCCTTGTCTTGGGATATAGTTTTTTTAAGTTTTAGTAAAAATCGCAAAACCCTAAAATGTATACCATTTATCTTCCCTTAGGTAGGACCAGTGAAACAACAAAGCTTCCATTATTATCGAGGATAGGAAGAACTGAGAAAAGTTGTGTTCGGTTAAGACAGACAGTAGAACAGAAGAAAAGGAAAGCCACTAAGGAAATGATTATAATATTGAAAAGTTGGGAAGAAATAGAAATTTTTGTACTGAAACATTGCTACTGTCACTAAATACAGGATAGATTAGAGAGCAAAACATAAAAAATATTTATTTAGGGACCTACTGTATGAGGGACTGTGATAATCACAGGGATAAATCTTTTACATAGTCTGTGTTTTGGGGGGTTTAATGCCACAATGAAATATTGATTGCTATATTTTGTGACCTACTAACTAGCCATCATTGGTATTACTACTTAAAAGAAATAATTGCGCTATTAAATTTATGCTGTGGAAATTCCTAATGTAGTATTAATAACAGTACATAGAAAATGGATTTCTTCCCTTCTCTTGACACAGCAGAGAAATAGTTTTCTAGGCTTTGAAGAAATATGGCCAGAGGTTTACCGAATACATAATTTGGAGTAGTTTTAATCAATGAAAGCTGATGGAAATGGAAATTTTTGTTCAAGGTGAAACTACTCCATCCTACAAGAAATAATATTATTTCTCAAAATAGAAATAAAAAAACAAAAACCGAGCCTTGCTGGATCTCTTAGAAAACTAGCTTTGAGATTAGCCTCCTGTTATCAGAATAGCTTTAATATTGATGACTATGAAATACTGATTTGTCAAACAGTTTTGAACAAAGTTTACATTTTAGTTATTTTTACATTAAAAAAATAAAACCATACAAATATAAAAAGGAAATTAAAAACATTTTTAAATGTTTATCTTTGAGAGACAGAGTGTGAGCAGGGGAAGGGCAAAGAGAGAGGGAGACACAGAATCCGAAGCAGCTTCAGGCTGTGAGTTGTCAGCACAGAGCTCCAGGCTCTGAGTTGTCAGCACAGAGCCCAACGTGGGGCTTGAACTCACAGACCACGAAATCATGACCTGAGCCGAAGTCTGACACTTAACCAGCTGAGCTAGCCAGGTACCCCAAAAGAGAAATTTTGAAAATAGAAAAATCAGGCATCACCCTGTTACCCCCAAAAGCTTTAATTTTTGCATGTTATTGCTTATTATCATAATCACAAATATCCAATTTTGAATTCTGGCTTTTGAGACCTTTATATTCCAAACAATTCCTCATGTATGTACAGCTCCTGCATGTGTGGTCAGTGTCACTTCCCAGCTTCCTGCCACTGTCCTAATGACCTGGTTTTATGGGCTCATTGGCTTAGTGGGAGCATACATGGAGTCTGTGGATGTTTGGTCCCTTGCCCTGGAATTCTTGTAGCTTTTCAGGGGCCAAATAAAGATTCATTGACTTGGAGCTTTTCACTGTGAATTAGTAAATTCTGGAGCTTTTCAGTGTGAATTAGGTAAAACCATTCACACACATCTTCATTGCTGAGTAAAGAGAGAGTAACTTTAGAAGGTGCACATTTCTATCGAATGACACCCTAAATTTCATTCTGATCTTTTTATTTTATATAGATATACTTGTTAAATACCTTCCATCAACAGATAAACAGATGAACAAGAAGATTTCCATTTTAAAGGATCATGACTTTATAGAGTAAGTGTCTCTTAAAATTACTCCTTCAGGAAACTTTGATGAGAAAATGGTAGGCAGGGTTTCTATAGATATGAGATACCTCCTGACTTGTTCCTGTTAACAGTTCCTGTTGACAGGTAGGTGTTTACTGAGCATTTACTATGTGTACTAAATTGTGCTTGATGTGGGCACACAAGGAGTGTAAGGTACTTATCAAGAAGATTGTTTGGGTGTATTAGGCTTGAAGTATTAAGTGATCAAACCATAAGAAAGCCCTGTTTATTTTGGTTGGGAGCCCGGTGTGCAGCACAGGGTCAGGTGGGATGGCATCGGGCTGCTGCAGGCCTGGCGGGCCCTCAGTCACCCTGCAGTGCGCTCCCGGCGCTTCGGAAGCAGGGCTGTCAGGGGCCGGCTAGGTGGTTCCACAGCAAGTGGGATACATAGGGTTCGAGGCTCTCCCTTTCAGATTTTCTTCTGTAAATGAAACCAAGTTTGAATGATCCAACAGCGGTGTGAGAGCAGCCTGGCTGTGGTGGCTGCCAGTTGTCTGATGCCCGGGGCGATGCCCATATTCATCTTTCATCTCCAGGGGCTTGTGGCACACACCCTCTTCGTCTGGCCTCCTCACCCAGGCTCAGCTCCCTACCAAAGTCAATTGGAAGATAGTTTTTTACCTTTTTTTTTTTTTTTAAGAAAGAGTTTTGTGTTTATTTTTGTTTGTTTTGTTTTGTTTTGTTTTACTCTGGCTTTATTCTTATGTATTTGCAGACTTAGTTTTCTCTTTTACATTTGTGACCAGGATGCCAGGTTACATAATGTTCAGCCCCTTCAGAAAACGTTTAGCTCGTCAGCCATTTGCCATGGTGTCATGAAGTACTGAAATGACAGGTGTGTCATTATTTATTCTTATGCTTTAGGAATTTGACATTTGGATGGGATGGACCATCTTGGAGGTTACTCACAGCTCTTAAGTTGTTATGTCTGGAAGCTGAAGAATTGTAAGTTTCACGTGTGTCGGTCATGAGCGGTGCTTACAACCTAGACATAAGCCGGGGGCTTCCTTTGGCTTACGTTCAAACACTCAGCCTGGGAGGAGAAAGGAATGCCACTGGGTACTGGGTGGCTTATTCTTTATGGAACTTGCCCGTGTGGTGAGTGTTTCACTTCTAAGTTTTCACCATTTCTGGAATTCTGGCTTTAGAGTCACAATCAGAGTACATGCGCCTCAAAACTTCTCAGGTATTTTCCCCTGGTGAACTGCAGCTGATTGTTAAGAGTAAATATTTTAAAAAATGCATCAGCACTGTTCAGGGGGAAGACTGAGTAGGGCGTTTTTCCCTGGGGACAAATAGCTTCCTTGGGGAGCTGTGCCCTCCCCAGGGGCAGATCCAGACCCCTGCTAAAGGAGAGGCCTGGATATTTCCATGGGGTGGGGGGCAGATAGAAGAGCCCCAGGTATAGACACACACCCTGGTTAGGCTCCTGAACATGACCTTGAGGCTGCCAGTGACTCCCCCAGCATGGAAAGGACTGCCCGCTCATACAGCTGCGTGCTTCCCAGTGCAGGGAGCAACTTCAGCCTGGGTCCACTGCTTAGCAAGAGCTCAGGTGAGAGAAGCCACCTGAAGAGAGGACTTGCTGAAAATGGTGACCCCATCCTTGAGTGGGTGGGAGGACTAAATGAGCTGACGCGGAGCACTGTGCCGCGAAGTAGTTGGTGCTCATTCAGTGGTGCCTGTTAAGATGTGGCTTACATCTTTCTTCAGGGACTCGGGGAAAAATCACTCCCCGGTCTCAACAGCAGAAAGAGTGTGTTTATTCTCAGCAGATGGAGTGTTTTTATCTTACAGTCATTGTGGATTCTGTGTCTGATAACGTTTCTTTCTGTTTATTGTTTGCTGGAAAACTTGTAGGCAAATCTGTGGTTCGTTCAAATGTGTAGGATTTTAAGGCATGCAGTGTATCCTGGTTGTATCTTCTTCTTCCCTTAACCTTCCTTTGTCTTGTTTTCCTGTCCATTCATCTCACCTTCTGTTTCGTCTCACGTGTGCTCACGTTAAGTGTCTTTAAATCCTTCTTGGAAAAAGGTATGAGTCCTTCTTAGGCACATACCTCAAATTATATAAAACAACAGGCTGTTTCCCAGAGGTCACCCTGAGACCCTTTTCCTCCCTTTGAGTTATTCCTAACAGTCTGGAGTGGCGGTGTGGAGTGGCGGTGTGGAGTGGTGGTCTGGAGTGGCCATCTGCCATGGCCATCTGCCGTGGCCATCTGCCGTGGCCGTCTGGAGTGGCCGTCTGGAGTGGCCGTCTGGAGTACTGCAGCAGAAAAGGCCCGAGGCAGGGATTCTGCCAGCTGGGCGTTTGCATGCTGTTTCTACCTCTCCTCAGCTTTGTCACTTACCTTCCCAATTCTCAGTTTCTTTGTGTCTAACATGGGGATAATAATGCTTTCTTTGTATATATATAATTTATAATTATATATATTTGTATATATAATAATTTAATTGTGAAGATTAAATTAGATGATGGTTTTATATGAAACACTGTGCCTGGCATATAGTGTGATTTCCTTCCTCCCTCCCTCCCTCCTTCCCTCCCTGCTCCTGATGTTTCAGTTGTTATCTCTACAGCTGAAGACCTTTAAGACTTTATTCCCTGTGTAGGTTGCCAGCTGCTCTGAATTTCTTAGTGACTGCTGTATACTTCCACTCTGATGTGACACTTGTCACCTTACTTTTCCGTTCCTAAGCCATTCCATTTCAGATTATCTGCATCCAGAGTTTCTTCCTATACTCTCTTCCTCTTTGCTTCGTGCCACCTTCTAGCATGTAGATTTGGCTCTGCCACCTTCCGGCTCAGCATCTTGCAGTGACTCCCTCTTGCTTACCCTGAAACACTTAGATTCCTCTTGCAGAAAGTAGACCCCATTTGCTTCCTGAACCCTATTTCCTACATATTTTTGGATTATAAAATGGGAATGACCTATATGTACAGAAAGGCTTCATTAGGGGCGCCTGGGTGGCTTAGTCGGTTAAGCGTCCGACTTTTGCTTAGGTCATGATCTTGCGGTTCGTGGGTTCGAGCCCCGCGTCGGGCTCTGTGCTGACTGCCAGCTCAGAGCCTGGAGCCTGTTTCAGTCTGTGACTCCCTCTCTCTCTGACCCTCCCCTGCTCACGCTGTCTCTCTCTCTCTCTCTCTCCTAGAAATAAATAAAAAAAAAAAAAAAAAAAAAAAAAGAAAGGCTTCATTATAAATTCCTCCTTCCATCTTGAGAACATTTTACTTTGTGAAACATGTTCTGTCCAGTTTACCATAGTTTAGGAAAGGCTGTCACTCGAAGAGAAGGAAAATTCTTCCGCTTTTGTCCTTAGTCCTTAGTCCTATTGGCTTGTTCTCACCTTCCTGTTCTATCTTTTCCTCTGTTCCCATGGCTGGTGGACGTGACTCTACTTAATTTATGTGCTAGACACAGGATTGCGATGACAATAGAGTTCAGTCCCTGCCTGCAAAGAGCAGCAGTCCCCTTGATTCTTATTCTCACCTGTTTCTCCTCCTTGCTCCTCTACCTTGTCTGCTTCAACACGGGAACTGCATGTGGGGGGAGGCTTAGGGAGTCCGCTAATGGAGTGAGTTTTATTATGCTTCTAGAAAAACAGGAGAAGAGTTTGTGTGTTGTGTTGAAATGTAAAGGCTTTCTTTACGTTTTGAGAGCCTGCTGACATTTAATTACTAAACAATTTCATTCTAGTACGTGCTGGAAAAGAATACTTCTGGGGGAAGTAATTTCAGATACAAATGAGAAAACAAGTTTGGACATAGCCCAGAAAATATGCCATTATTTCACAGAGGAGACCAATGCTATGCTTCAGAAGGTATGCTTCTAGAATATCACATTCGTCTGCTAAAGAAGTGTTTTGACTGAGAAGTTAACCTGTTTTCTACTTGTTACACCTTATTAGGGCATTGTTTGATGTTTAAATAGATGAACACTGATGTAATTTCTGGGATTTTATGACTGTTGGCATTGTGTTTATACCTTTAAGTAGGTAAAATTATTGGATGAATTTTCAAGTACTCTTTTTTAAAAATATTTTTATTTAGTACATGTTTTACTGAGAAATCAGCTCACTTTAATGAAAACATTACTGGGATTAAAAAATAATTTTAATGAACCTTCAAGACATTATGCTAGGTGAAATAAACTGGAATACAAAAAGACAGATACTGTGTGATTCCACTTATGTGAGTTATCTAGAATGGGCAAATTCATAGAGACAGAAAGTAGAATAGAAGGTACCAGGGGCTGGGGGAAAGGGAGCTGAGCAGTTACTGTTAATAGGGTAGAGAATTTCCATTAGGGATGATGGAAAAATTCTGGGTGAATAGTGGCGATGCTTATATAACATTGTGAGTGTACTTCATGCCATTGAACTGTACACTGAAAAGTGGTCAGAATAGTCAATTTTATGTTTATGTGTGTTTTACTACAAGAAAAAAATAATTTTAAAATACCTTCCAGATTTCTCATATGAAAGATGAAGAAGTGACTTTGATAAACCAGCTAACTTTGGTAGAAACATTGTGGACAGAAGAGCTAAAGATTCTGCAGGCCTCTGCTAAGATTCTCAACAGTTTGCAGACACCTTTTAGGTAACTTCACCTAATGTGTTTGATCACCTCCCGTGGTGGGTGTGACTTCTTAACCAGTTTTAAAGGTTTATTTGTATAGAATCATTTACAGTCAATGAGTGGTTCCTATTAAACAATTATATACTTATCCTGCTCCTTCTGCTTTTCTTTGTTGGTGGGATGGAGTGGTGGCCGCCGCTCAGACGCTGAAGGACATCTTCAGGGGACAGGGCAGGCTCTGTGGATTCTGGAGTGGAAGTGATGATGGACGTGTCGTCCCTCACAGCACTTTGAGAAATATTCTCAGAACAGACCCCAGGCCTGCAGGAGGAAGTAGGAGGAAAGCACTGCTCTGTAAGGAGAGGGGCCTGAGGGGCTCTGTGTGTGGCCTTTCCCTGGGTGTCCTGCTTCCCCACTGACTCAGCAGCTATAAAAGGACAAGAAGTTGTGCTTTTATTCTGCTCTGATACCATCGGTTTAGAGATGTGCTGGCGGTAGGTGGTTTTGGGTGGGGGATAGGGGTGGATTGGGGGGGTGGGATTTGGCCCCCTGAGCTAAAGCAAATCACTTCGAATTTTTCCTTCTGATTTCCGATATGAAAAGGAGACTGTGGACCTCCTGTACAGAAGGGCCAGGGGCTGGGACTCATGTTGGGCAGAGGCCCAGGTGATGGATGCCACCTCCCCCCTTCTTGGCCTTGCTCACCAGAAACCAGGGAACGGGCTGTAGGAGGGACAGTATGGGTACTGCCCATCTGAATTTGATTGAATGGAAGTTCAGTCATTAAATACAGGGGAGGGGAGGGCCTGCCTCGGCAGACAGACCTCCCTCTGCGGTTTTCCAGAATGTGTTTAAGTCTCTCGTCAGACATTTCTATTCTCTTTGTGGTGGGTGTTTAACTCTTATTCTGCTTTTTAAAATCATTTTCATGGGGGTTTGGGAGGAATATATGAATTTTTGTGCTCAGGTGGCCATTTTGAATTGAGTCTTTCCCTATTTTTTTCCTTTTTGTTTTTAAACACTAAAAGCATTTTAGGCTATTGACTTTCCTCTGAGTGTGGTTTGTATATAAAGTGTGTACTAATTAGTACTTTTAGTACTCAGAGTTTAGCTCAGGATTTACACTTTTCTTAGTAGTTTCATGCCTGTCAGTCAACAGTCAGGATCACTGGGAGGGAGTCGGAGCAGGTGTTCTATCATTTGTCACAGGAGCAAATATGCATTTATTATAAAAACTGGACTGCCATCGGAATATAAGACAATAACATTTATTAAATATTAGCAGTGCTGGATGCGAGGTGCTGGGTTCAGGTCTTGGTATGTGGTGTTTTAAGCCTCACAGTTACCCTATGTCATAAATAGAAAGGGGAAGAAATTGCCTAAGATTGTACACCTGATGTGTGCTACAGCGAAAATGCCCACTCACCCGGCCGTTGGAGGGATCGGGGTCCACGGCATGGGTGTGTTGGTGTCCGGGATTTACCGTGCTGCCCTGCCATGGGGATGGGGTTCGTGTGTGTGGGCCTGTCACCTCCGTGTCAGTAGGCATCAACACGCCATGCGGGAGGCCTGGACCATCTGGTGCAGCTCTACCTCAGTGGGGACGTCTGCTTGATTCTGGGGCTCAGTGTAGACAAACTGACCTAAAGCCGTAGTCGTATGTGAACTCCCTTCCTTATTCTTTTCCTGTTTATCCTTTTTCAGAACCAGGGAGGGAAGAAGGGATATTCCCTCCACAGCCTTCAATTGTCTTTGGCCTCAGGGGACCCGTGGAGAAGTGACGCAGGGGCTGGGGCCGTGGAGAGACCACCAGGCTTCTCCCGAGGTTGGGGCCGGACAGTGTAGGGCTGCCCCCATCAGACCACAGGTGCCCCGAGTTCACTTTTCCTTCCCGGGTTTCGTTCTTCCTCAGCCCTGGAACGCCTGCTCTCAGGTGCAACCCAAACAAGCAGATGGGGCCCACTCACCTTAGGAGACAGTGTCTGGGTGTCTTTCCCTGTTTGTATGTGCAGTTGGTGTTGACTTTATCTTTAAATGCTGTTGTGGAGGCACCCGGGTAGCTCAGTCGGGTAAGGGTCTGACTGGATTTCAACTCAGGTCATGATCTCATGGTTCATGGGATCAAGCTGTGTGTTGGGACTCTGGGCTGACAGTGTGGAGCCTGCTTGGGATATCCTCTCTCTCTCCCCCTCTCTCTCCCCCTCTCTCTCCCCCTCTCTCTCCCCCTCTCTCTCCCCCTCTCTCTCCCCCTCTCTCTCCCCCTCTCTCCCCCTCTCTCCCTCTCTCTCTCCCTCTCTCTCTCCCTCTCTCTCTCTCTCCCCCTCTCTCTCCCTCTCTCCCTCTCTCCCTCCCCCTCTCCCCCTCTCCCCCTTCCCTGTTCACTTGTGTGCACCTGCATGTTCTGTATCTCTCAAAATTAAAAAAAAGCTGCTGTGTGTTTCAGGATGTGCTATACCAGGGGTCTGCAAACATTAATGGGGGCAAGTGGTAAATATTTTAAGCTTTCTGAGCTATACAGCCTTTGCCCCAACTATTGCACAGCATATAGACAATATGCAAACAAGTTGAATGGCTGTGTTCCTTAAGACTATTTACAAAGACAGGTCATCGGCCATAGTTCGCTGACCCCTGTGCTATACCATACTTATTTTTTCTGTCCTCTATTAGTGGACATTTAGGACCTAAATATGTATGTGTATACACACACACACATACACACATGAACTACGTGAAGGTGCTTTACACCTTTTGAAAACAAAGCCACCTAACTTTAACATGAAAAACTTCACAGGCTCCTGTAATTGTTGTGCTTGAGTTGTCCAGTGATTAGAAAAACTATACACAATGACAAAAATCATTACTCACACATTTACAAATGAGAAATATTTCATCATCCACACCAGATCTATGTGTATTTGGAAAACAGCAGAATAAGACTTTTCCATTTATCGACCATGCTTGGTGTATGTGTGCAGTCAGACTTTCTGCAAGAAATCTGTGGCTCCTTGTAGGGCAGTCTGGCCCACAGGGTAAACCACCGTTGACAGTGACACACAGCCTCCTTTGGCTTGTCCTTACAAAATCATTGTGAGGGCCAGCAAAGCCCTTCTCTACCCTGCTCTTTTCCCAATGGCATGGTTTTCTTCCTTCTTTAGTTCCCCCCCCCCCCCCCCGGGCATTTCGGCCTTCCTCCTCACTGCTGCCTTGGGCTTGCCTGAGGTTCCTAACACACCCTCTCCTTGTGGGTATCTGGTTACAGAGTTTGTGGGCACACCCTCTCCTTGTGGGTATCTGGTTACAGAGTTTGTGGGTGGTGAGCCTCCCACCGGCTGACTTGGCCTGAGGGCACAGACACTGAGAAGTTAAAGGACTGTTTGTCCTTATCTTTCAAGCTAAAAACAGCAGAGGCGCTTCTCAGACTGGGGCACTTTATGTGCTTCTGCCTGAAAGTGGAGACTGGTAATGACTTAGCCATCAGAGCTGTGATTCTGTGAAAATGGCCCTCACTGAACCACCGAGGCACGTCCTGAGAGGGCCCAGCAAGGCGCAGAAATGGGGAATTTATTTTAGCACCCCAGTTGGCAAACAGCAACCACATTCTGTGTGATAGATTTGTCAGCCCACATTTCAGTGTAGAGTTTTGTCAGGAATGTCACCCTGTCAGTTCACTTGGAAAAGGGTCTTTTTTTTTTTTAAACACATCCAGAAAGTCATTTGTGAATTAAAGGGAATGGAATGTTAAGAGGGAAGAAGTAGGCCTGAAGCATTTTTCTATAAGCCTGCCAGTGTGCCACCCACAGCCTGCTACTGTGCCACGTACAGTCTCCCAGTGTGCCACACACCACCTGCCACTGCCATGTACAACCTGCCACTGTGCCCCACACATGTCACTGTGCCACGTGCAACCTGCCTTGTGCCACACACAACCTCCCAGTGTACCATGCACAACCTGCCAGTGTGCCACGCACAACCTGTCGGTGTGCCAGTACAATCTGCCAGGTGCCGTGTACAACCTGCCAGTGTGTCACATTCTACAATGCCATGTGCTCTCTCTGGTGCTGTTCTCTTTCACCTTTCAGAGGGCAGTTCTGACTTTATTCTGTTGTAACCTTTCCTTGAATATTTTGTTTACTTTCCTTCTATTCTATAAACTATTCCACAATTTTAACATTAGGCTGTGAGTAAATTTGTAAAAACTCACAAAAATATAGTATAAATTTAATAAAATAATTTAATAAATTTAATGAAAGAATTTTAATAAAAATGCAAGGTTTCCTTTCACACCCTCTGGGACAGCTGTAACAAAAAAAGTGTTGAGGATGTGGAGAAATTGGAACCCTCTTGCACTGCTGATGGAAAAGTCAGATGCTGTGGCTGCTTAGAAACCCAGTCCGGCAGTTCCTCAAAAGGTTTAGCATAGAGTTACTTTCTGACTCAGCAACTCTCCCCTCTGGGTACATAGCCAAGAACTGAAAACACACATCCACACAAAAATGTGAACATGAATGTTCATAGCAGTTTGTATAGCAGTGTTCGTCATGGCATTATTCATAACAGCCCCAGTTCAAATGTGCATCCATGGATGAATGGATAAATAAAATGAGATTTTGCCATAAAATGGGATATCACTCAGGCACAGAAAGGAACAAAGTACATACATGCTACCACATGGATGAGCCTTAAAAACATGCTAAATGAAAAGAACCTGTTCACAAAAGACCACATATAATTGCATTTATATGAGGGGTGTCTGGGTGGCTCAGTTGGTTGAGCACCTGACTTTGGCTCTGGTCATGATCTCATGGTTTGTGAGTTCGTGTTGGGCTCTGTGTGGACAGTGCAGACCCCGCTTCAGATTCTGTGTCCCTTTCTCTCTGCCCCTCTCTCTCTCATGCATGTGCTCTCTCTCTTTCTCAAGTAAATATTTGAAATGTATTTATATGAAATGTTCAGAAAGGTCAAATCTAAAGCAATGGGAAGTAGATTAGTGGCTGGCATGGGTGGGACAGGGCACTGGAGGGATTGAGTGATGAGGGCTGGGGTGGAGGGTTTCTCTTTGGGGTGATGTGGCTATGTGGCCCTCCATGTATCCTAAAGCCCATTAGATAGTACATTTTATTTTATTTTATTTTATTTATTTATTTTTTTAATATTTTTATTTATTTCTAGGAGAGAGAGAGACAGCGTGAGCAGGGGAGGGTCAGAGAGAGAGGGAGTCACAGACTGAAACAGGCTCCAGGCTCTGAGCTGGCNTCGAGCCTCAGTTTCTTCCCTCTATAGGGTGAGACAGAATAATTTGTTCAGCAGTTGCCATAGAAGATAAATGGGAAAGGTAGATGAATGCATTTGGATGAGATTTTTTTTTTTTTAATTTTTTTTATTTATTTCTGGGAGAGAGAGAGACAGCGTGAGCAGGGGAGGGTCAGAGAGAGAGGGAGTCACAGACTGAAACAGGCTCCAGGCTCTGA